CTAGAGCAGGATTTCCCAAACTGTGAGATATACCCTCTTGGGAAGAGACAGACAGTGTCAGGGGGAGATATGAGGAACCTTTTAATTACATTGCTACAATACATCCTCCTTTCCCAGTTTCATTGTATTGTCATTGTTCATTTGTGTTTATTTTGCAGTTTAGATTTTTGGGGGAGATGTGTATATTAATATTACAGGAAAGGAAGGTGTGATGGTAAAAAGTTTAGGAATACCTGGGCTAGAGGATTTTGAGATTTGGTAGACTTGTAAATGGTTCTGCATTGATTTAAAAGAAAGTATTAAGCAAGGTCAAAACTAGCATGATAGTGTTCAGAAGTAATAAAGTGCTGCATTTAGTTAGGAAAAATAACAATTGTATAGGTATACAACTGGGGAGTCTTAGCTTTGTGGCAATATCTGTAAGAATGGTTAGTTGAATATGAACAGCCAGTGTGATGCTGCAGTAAAAAGGCCAGTACAATTTTGGTTTGCATTAACAAAGTGTTATAGCAAAATTATATGAGGTAATAGTTCTGTTATACTCTGGACTAGTTCGAGTACTTGGAGTACTATGTCTACTTGAAATGGACATGGTAAAGCTGGAGTAGATTTTTAAGGGGGATTACTAGGTTGGAAATTTATCCTCATGAAGAAAAGCTTAAAGCAGAGGTTCCCAAACAATTTCATAGACTGTTTTGTTTATAAGTAGTAAAATATCTTGTGGCATCCTTGTGAGTTTGCTGGGCACAAGGTTTGGGGAAAACGGGCTTAAAGAAGCAACATATGTTCAGCTTGCAAAACATAAGACTGAAAAGAAGATAAAATACTCTTTGAAATTAAAAGGAGATCCAAACTTAATACCGTATTTTCCCCAAAATAAGACCCAACTGGAATATAAGCTCTAGCATGATTGTTTTCAGGACACTGGTAATATAAGCCCCATCCCAAAAATAAGCACCAGTTAAGATCGTCAGCAAGACAGATACATTTAGTACCGTATTTTCCCCAAAATAAGACCTAACTGGAAAATTAATATAAGATCTGGTCTTATTTTCGGGGAAACACGGTAGCATGACAAATTTTTTGATGGTAAGAGCTGTTGACAGTCTTACTAGAGCAGTAGTGAATTCCTCCTGCGTAAGTTTTTTGCAAACCATGATGAGATGGTTGCCAGTATGGGAATAGTTTACCCATTTATGGTCCCATTTATGGTCACCTTGTCTGTTATGCTTTCTACAATGTTAGTGTTTTATAGTAGAAAATATTAAGAATGTTAAACAACTTTTCAATAGTCATAACCTAGAAATCCCAATACATCAAGCATTGAAAGCTGCTTTTAATGTAAAGATTTGACCCAAACTCCCATCTATCTGAGTGAGATGAATAATATCATGGGTTCAAGATCACTGGCTCTCTTTTCATCTTGCCAAGTTCCTTCCCCTTTTGTAGACAGTATGGCAGCTTGTGCAACCACCCCATGTTGAATACTTGCATCTTAAATGACCTGTCCCTTCCGTCTTTAGAGCTAAAGCCAGGATGTTGTTTCCAAATGTGGGTCTTGAACTGGTAGAGTTTTTAAGTGTGAATTTTCTCAAAAATATCATAACTGATTGTTGATTTCCAGAGATAGGCATCTCTGGTTCTTCAAATCACTACTGTACTCAAATATAACTGTAAATAGAAAATAGTTTTTGAATTTTTAATATGTGTGAATTGGTTTATTTTATGACATATTTGAATGAAATCTTATAGTTGACGGAAATGCTAGTGAAATGAAATGAAATGCATGTTTGAGCCAAACTTATACAATAATTATTTTTGTATTTTAATTTACAAAAAATATTTTTAAAAGGAGAAAGAAATTTCCATTGAATAAATAATTAGTGGTTGTGTAAAGTAAGAAGGAACTTATGTAGAACTTTCTTAGACACAATCTCTTCCGGACCAAGCATAATAACTGTTTTTTCCTTTGCTTTGGAGAAAGTTTCTTTCAATAGAATTTGAGAACTAATTGTTCTCGCATGTCATAGTTTCTTGGACTAATAATTATTAGACACAGTCTACGATTGTTCTTGGACTAATACTTATTAGACACAGTCTACGACTGAAAAAGCAATTGCTTCTTTTTTGGTAATGGCTATTTTGATATTAGCCTTTTTGAAGTCTGTTTCACTCAACATACTATAAAATTGAGTTCAGTCATGTACATCCTCATATCACTTGGTTGAGAATTGATATTTAGCATATATAGCAGAAGGATAGGGGTGTCTAAGATATGTCTTATGAATGTTACGAGAATCTTAACTACAAAGGCTGTACAAAAGTTGTTAATAAAATGGGAAATTTCTTAAACTTTTGAATGATAGAATCCTAGTAATTATGCAAAGTTTTTTGGTTTTTTTTAAAGTATATTCTGTTCTCAACATGCAGTTTGTCCAAATGTATTTATTTGGAAAATAGAATGATTTAATGTGGGCCATATCAACAACTGTCTGCTCCTACTTTGATCCGTATTTGAAATCTAGAGAAATGAACTTACTATATTGTTAAATAAGGAAACCATACATACCTATTATAGGTTTGCTTTTTAACAAGAAGGAATAACATTTTCAAATAAAGTAGGTTCTTCTAAGCCAGGGCTTTTCAACCTTTTCACAAATTGTACAACTTTTAGGACATGACAGTATTCAAGTACCACCAGTGCTTAGCAAGGTGCTTAAAACTTGATCACTAAAAAAGGGGAGGAATTTTGGGTTTTACGATTAGATTGATTGATTTGTTATAGAAATGGCTAGTTTATACTATTATGGAAAAGTAAAAAGTTGAGATTTAATGTTAATGCTTCATTCTACTGCAACAGAGGAAGTTGGAAGTCAAAGTCTTTGCTTTGCTTTTTTCCTTCTCCCCCTCATTTTTCTTTCCCTTTTCCTCCCCACTGTGTCCTACTATTTGCTTTTGTATTTTATTCTATAATCTAATAAAATGTTACATACTGTAAAAAAAGGGGGGAAACTACCAGTTTTACTCCTCCTTTTATATCCTTTCTTCGCTCCCTCTTCTTCTTTTATATCCTCTTTTTTCCCCCTCATCCTTTCATATCCTCTCCTCTCTCCCCCCTCCTCCTCCTTTTCTCTTCTGGTATGCTGGAAGCGCTGATTAGCTGGAGGTGCACGTGCCGATCATGGGCTCTCAGTAGAGCCCCGGCAACACCGCTGCTCCAGCTGAATCTCCACCCGAAGACTCTGTGTGGCTGCCGGCCATCCCCCAGGCCGCCGGAAGTGCCGATCAGCTGTAGCCGCATGCCGATCCTGGGCTCTCAGCAGAGCCCCGGCAACATCGCAGTTCCAGCTGACTCTCCCCCAGGCCTCTCTGGCACTGCCGCCACTTCAGCTCATCCACTTTTATAACACTTTTTTTTTTGCAATGCTTTTCAATCAGTCGTACACGTACCACCTGCTAAGGTGCTGAAGTACCACCAGTGGTACACGTACCACGGGTTGCAAAGCCCTGTTCTGAGCAATTGTTTTCTGCCCATAATTTTTTTAGAGGAAGTATAATTTATTTGATTGTTGTATATAATTCAGTATTATTTATAAAAACTTGGGGATAAGACTGGTTAACAGGTTAAGAGTTTAGGGGGGGTTGCAAGGGGAGTCTTTAAAAATTGGAAACAGTGGTTCTGTTTGATTTGTTTTTCGATTAGCTGGCTTTACCACTCAAAAAATGGATAATCTTATCAACATACAGCAGGGTAACTGTGGAGTTTCTAAAGTTGTTATTCTTTAAAAAATCTACTAAATCCAAAGAAAAGTAAATGAAGAATCCCTTTTGCACACTTACTGGTAAATAGGAAGTACACCCAATAGTCCTTTTGCTCATCTACTAACCTGGAGAAGCAAGATCAAAAGCATTTCAAACTTGTTTCTCCAGGTTATTTATTTTAAGTGTCTCTCTTTCTAAAAGATCCGAGGAATGTTTCATTCCTCATGAAATGTTATGACTGGTTTGAATCTTTTGAAAGGGATTTATAACATTGGTACAAAGTGCTTTAGTTGACTCAAGATTCACTTGAATCAGATTTACAAGTAGTACTTGAAGTAAAACAGGTCACTTATCAAAAATACAGAGTTACAACAGACATCCCAAAATTACATACGAACCTGTTTCAAAGTTATGAGGACTGCATTTGCCCTGATGATCAACCAGGGAGATGCTTTAGAGCCCCTCACCTCTCTCCCCCCATCCAACCCCAAAGGGACTCCACAGGACTTGGGCCTGCTCGCATACCTTGTGAAAGCAGCCACCATTGTCAGCCAATTCCCTGGAGAAATGGTGGCTGCTTTCAGAGCTTTCTGCCCTAATCAGCTGGCCACTGGGAAACTGCAAGGCTCTCCTGGCTCTTGCTAGGCCTTAGGAAACCAGACCCTGCATGCTAAGGTAGCAGTTTTAGGATGAGCTTTCCAAAAATCTTTCCCTTGCTTTAACCCCCTCCATCACCCCAAAATTGACATTTCTTAAAGAAAACAAAAAAAGCTGGTAGAGGCAGACTTGTTCATCTTTTTCTCCCACCCCCCACCCCTTTAGGTGCTGAAACTAAATTCCCCACCTCTTTCCTCCAATCTCTATCCTCTTTAACAATTTAATTTACTAAACTTAATTGCATGCTTGCGATTGCACTAGGGAGAGCAGGGATGGTTGGTGAGGTAGTTCATTTAATATTTGTTCTGACTTCCAACTGTAATGGACAGGATTCATTATGGTTGTAATTCGAGGACTACCTGTATACATGTGGATTCTAACCTCACAGTGTCATGGAAATAATGAGGTCTAAATCACTTTTTTTGCTATGTGTGCAGATTAAAATAATTTGCTGAGATTAGGAGTTAGCAATAGTCTTTTTAGACTTCAGAAACAGATGTTTTAATGAGTGTGTATCTTTAAATACTTTCATTTCAGCAAATATTGTACAACTGCATATTCTTGAAATTCCTGTTTTTCAGGTGTTGGAAAATCATGTTTATTGTTGCAGTTTACAGACAAAAGGTTTCAACCAGTTCATGACCTTACTATAGGTAAGTCCTTAATAGGTAAATGATGAAAGATGATAATTCTATGTGTCAAAATTTGAAATACATGAAATTTAAACATTGGATTTAAGATTCGTACATAAATGGTTCCTAATCTATTTGATATGTAATTTAGATATATACTGAACAATTATTATTTCCACAATTATAATTATATTTGTATATAATTACTGCTTTTCATAGTTGTGCGAAAAATTTAAGAGAATTTTAGTTTACTGTAGGCAAACTGTTGATTCATGTGATTCATCGGCTCTATTATGTGATTTTTGATTGGGCCAGGAAGCATGTGCTTAGCAAATAAACTGGAAATGATAGCTTATCATTTCCTTTGAAAACCAGAAACAATGGTATATGAGGAAATAACAAGCCAGGATAATCTTTTCAAGTAATGGTAAATCTGGGGAACTCTTTTTTTTTTTTCTTAAAATGATCAGAAAAATAGGAAGATGGGAACAGAATATGTTGCTCTCTAGTGGAGACTTGTATAGGGAGTCCTCAACTTACAACAGTTCATTTAGTGAAATTACAACAGCACTGAAAAAAGTGACTTATGGCCATTTTTCACAGTTACGACCTTTGCAGCATCCCCATGGTCATGTGATCAAAATTCAGATGCTTGGCAGCTGATTCGTGTTTATGACCGTTGCTGTCATAAGGTCATGTGATCATGTTTTGTGACCTGACAAGCAAAGTCAATGGGAAAGCCAGATTCACTTAACAACTGGATTACTAACTAATCAACTGCAGTGATTCACTTGACAACTGAGGCAAGGAAAGTCTTAAAATGAGGCAAAATTCACTTAACAAATGTCTCACTTAACAACAGAAATTTTGGGCTCAATTGTGGTTGTAAATCTAGGACTACCTGTAGTCATTCATTTAGAGAGTCCTTCACCCACACACACACACACATAAAGCAGTGCTTTTTTTCTTAAAAAAAAAAAAAAAGGTGCCAGAACTCACACACGTCATACAACCCACCTTGCCTACCCTACAAGGTTTCATCCAAAAAAGGTGCCGGAACTCCGTTCTGGGCGTTCTATGAGAAAAAAAGCCCTGACATAAACACACATAAATACATAACAACAGGTAAGCTTGTAAACAGTGAAAACTATTTTAAAGCCTTATTAAAGTATGGATGATTTGGGGGAGAAAGGAGATAACCCCTTTCTTCCTAGTAACAACCCTGTATTGAAAATATTACAAAAGTTATTCCTGTAGTCTGTCAAGAAAGTCTCCTAAAATTTCCTCAAAACCAATCCTACCTTCCTGTCATACAGTCTTATGATGCAATACAGAACTCTTCAAAAATGATTTTTGGCTTTGGCCATCAGGTTTCCCACCTCTGGTTTTAGGAAAAGGGTGAAGTTTTCTGAACAAAATGTAAACCTCTTTTTGGAGACCTTTCCAAAAGCATAAATTCTGTGTTCTTGTGATAAACAAGCATTTATGAGTGTGGTTTTAGGTTTTATGCAGTCACGTTAATGGAAAGGAACACACAACACTAGCATGCTCTTATTTTTGATAAAACTATTGTAGCCCTGTTGTTTACTACACAGTAATAATGCCAGTTTAAATCATGCAGAATGCATCCAGTTTCTAAAATGTTTTCCAAAAATAAAACATCACTTTAAAATTGTATGAATTATGTCTCTCTTGATGTGTAGATATAGTTCAATTAACATATATTTATTTTCTTGTGTACTTAATAGCAGTGAGTTAGTAGGAAGTAACTTTAAAAGAAAAAAGAGGCATATAGTATACTATTTCTTAAAGTATGAATTTCTTTTATCTATTTTCTGTTTGCCTATTTTTGATGGAGAAAATCATACTTTGGGAGGATTATTCTTATTTTTCCTACCACAGTTCAAATGCAGCAGTTTAAATTTTTTTCTGGCATTTTCTCATGGTTGTGATTAAATGTTTTCCTCTAGTTCTTGAATTAGCAGAAATATATGCCAACATTGATTGTATTGTCACAATGACTGAGTCCTGAACTGTCTCATTGTTGAAGCTGGCTATTGCTCACAATTAATGAACTCTCCTGGCTGCATTTTGCCTCTCAAAAGAGGAAGGGAATGTGGCACCTGCCCATGGAGAAATAAAAATAAACTATGGCCATGCATAAGATTTGACAAGAGTTTCAGAATGAGCCAGGCAGGCATTATCCAGAGAGATCCTTCTGTGGAATCCAGGTACCCTTTCTGTCCTGTAGTCCAATCCCAAAATGACATGGTAGGTAGCACTCACTCTCTGGAGGGAGAGGGCATAAGTGCTACAGCTTCAAGCTGTAACTTAGAATTAGATAGATCCCAATCCATGTTATCACTAACATCATCACTGAGGCATCTCCATTCATTTGCATGTCAGTCTAAATGCCAAAATGAATATAAGTTGCCTCTGCAGTAGCCTGCAGAGATAAAGGCAAAGTCATAATGCTATGTCCTTTAGAAATGATTAGTAAGGCATCTTCATGCTACAGTACTGGGTTTGAGTATGAGCCATCTATGTGCTAGAAACTATTACTGTATATACAATGCCTGGCATGAATGGAAACTTAGTAAATCTGTAGCAAATAGTGTAAAGGAACTAGAATACTGAAGCAACTGGAGAACAATATTGCAATGTTTTTGAAAGAATGATGTAGATCATTTTCTTCTTTTATAATTTTGTGTATTTTTCTTATTGTTTTTGTATATTAGTTAATCCAAACTAAAAAAAATGATGAGTTTCATTTTGTTTATTACTCAGGTGTAGAATTTGGTGCTCGAATGATAACCATTGATGGGAAACAGATAAAACTTCAGATATGGGATACAGTAAGTAAAATTCTGACTGCAAGAATATTTTAGACAAATTCATATTGTTATTTAAAAAAATAGAAGCTACCAAAAATAATATGATCCTCCAGATCAGCAAAACTGTTTCTTGATTTTTCACTTGCTTAAGCTGGAAAGATTATGAATTAATTTCTACCAGGACAGACAGTGGCTTCATTTTATACTTGGAGTGGTGGTGGGGATGATGATGATGATAATTTATGACATTATTGTTAACTTGCTACTTTTAGGCTTTGAAAAGAGTAGGGAAATTATTGTTCAATTTTTGTCTTGTTTACTTATACTCTGAATTAGCATGTTTTATTTTATGGGCTGTACTAAGTAAAACATGTCTACTGGAGTGAAGAGGTTTTAAGCAGCTACATTATGGAATTAGTTTATTCAATAGTATTGCATCATTTACTTAAGTGCAATTGGCAAAGAAGTCTATCACTTTAAAACAATGCTTTAAAAATTGTTTTGAATTTTTGTTCCCTTCTAGTTTTTTTAAATAAATACATGATGGTCAACTCATGGTTCTTAGCCATGGTTCTTAGCTTTCTGCATCTAATAACAAGAAACTGGTAGTTTATAGTAGGAAATTGAGAAGAGCATGGAAGTCTTAAAATAACTGCTTAGAATTGCTGGAAGGGAAAACAGGACCAAACCTTAGATTTCCCTTCAGCTATTGAGTTTTGGAATTAGCAAGGCATGGATGTTGTAAAAGTGAACAAGGGTCACAATTTCCAACAATATTTGAAGACTATTTCTAATCAGAATCAAATTGTAGTTTTTGCAATATAACCTTGATGAATATGAAAGATACATAAAAAAGATCCAGTAAGTAGGTAAAGATTACAGATTGTCCATTGCTGTAGTGGAAAGCAACTAAATCACTCCCACATCACATTTATTAATGTATCTTCTGTATTAATATTAGAGTAATAGTTCATGTATGAAGGCAAATATACATGTCCCAGGATAATGTTGCAGGATCCAGTAAGGGTCAGAAGCAGTAGAACACAGTTTCAAGATCTGCAAGTGGGCATTACACACTGCCCAGAGGCTATCATATGAGGACAAATCATGCTTTGCAAAGATCTCTTGGAGGTGAGAGATACTTCTAATGTAATCTATCAGATTGCCTCTGTGACTATGTAGGACAGATGGGGAGGAAGCTAAGCACCAGATTGCAAGAACACAGGCGAGGGTCAGATAAGGAGACCCCAACTCGTTGGTAATCTGACATTACAGTGAACAAGGATATACATTCAATTTCTCAGCTATTAAAATTGTAGACGGAGCAGATAAAAAGATAGCCAGGGAAATGATTGAAGCCTGAGAAACAGGCCCCTTGTCAGTCAAGTGGAGAGCTGATTTACCACCAGCTTATCAGATACTTAGGAGCAAGGATTTGGTAGCACAAGGAAACAACAGCGAATAGCCGGCCATCAACCAGTCAGCCAATAGGAAGCCACACCCAACCAAGCATCATATAAATACGACGCATAAGAGTAGTCCAAAGACACATTCCGGTAGAGAGAAGTTGCCTGAAGATGGGCTCCTGCATGAGTCTGAAAGCTCAGAAGACTAACCTGTGGCCCTGCTGACTAACTCATGTTGGATCCTGCAATAATAGTTTGGTTTCTGATAATTTCACAATATCAAATAATACATAAATAAGATTTAATTTGAAGTTTCCATTCATAGATGTAACAAATCCAGTGGGAAATGAGAAAATGACAATGAGAGAACTGACAGAACTAACATTTTGTCTTAAGATAAACATTAAATTAACAGATTCACTCTGGCTTGTTCAGTTACCCGTATTTATCGGCGTATAACACGCACAGGCGTATAACACGCACCTTCATTTTAAGAGGGAAATTTCAGGAAAAAAACTTAAAGGTGGGGCCGGGCGGCGGAGCGCTTATATCGGCGTATAACACGCACACATCATTTGCCCCCTATTTTCAGGGGGAAAAAGTGCGTGTTATACGCCAATAAATACGGTATTTAAAAATCCTGCAACTGGACCAAGGAGAGCATATATTTGATTTCATTTCTGGTTCCTTTGATGTTTTCTTTATCTTTCAAGTTTTCAAAATTGTATTTTATTTCATATACAGGTAGCCCTACTTTATGACCATTCATTAGTGACTATTCAAAGTTACAGTGGCATTGAAAAACTGACTTATGTCCTCCCACCTGTGACCTTTGCAGGGTCTCTGCAATCATGTGATCACAATCCAGGCATTTGCTAACTGACCTCGCCCATACGACAATTACAGTGTCCTGTAGTCATATGATTGCTATCTTGTGACCTTTCCAGCAAGCATAGTGAGGAAGCTGACAGGAGGTTTCAAGTTACGGTCATGTGATGTCTCACTTAATGACTGCAGGTGATTTTTTAAAATAACCATGGCAAAAAGGTAGTAAAATCACATGATGCCTCACCTAATGACTCCATGCATAATGATGAATTTTCTGATCCCTGTCGTTTTCATAAGTCAAGGATTACCTGTATCTATATTATCTGTCCCTCTAATTACCTAAAAAAAATCTCTTTCAAATGAAGAGATTACTATTTTTAGGAATAAGGGTATTCATAATATTTTGTTTTTAGTTATTTTGTGTACTACGTTCCAAGCAACTCTGTTTCAAGTACAAAACTGCTGTTATGTAGTCAAGACTGCAGCCTTATTCCTGTCCTATAAGTCTTATAATTTACAACTAGAAATCTTAACAATATCAAACTTACGATTAGAACAGCAAGACAGAAAAGTGCAATAAATTGCAACATAGAGATGATCTGGATATAAATCATGAAATATGGTTTATATATGGTCATTGGCTTCTGACATTGCATATTTTATATAAATATCTTCATGTCACATCTATCAGAGCTGTATGCAGACTTAATACAAGTTTCCAGTTGCCTAATATCATAATACAGAGCTTATGAAGTAACTGTCCTGCTCTGATTAACCTGAGACTTCACAAGCTCCGTAGACTTGGAATATTTAATATTGATTGCTAAATGTCCTTAATTTTTTTATTACAATTTATCCAGATATGATAGCAAAGCTGTCATATCTTTTCTGCAGGTGGTGTTAGAAATATATTTTCTTCTATATGTTGCTTACATCATCACATGATTTAGTATTGCTAACGGACAACAAGCAGTTTCTGTTAGCTGCTTATTAAAAACTATTGATACTGATGTGGATTCTGTTCATTTTTTCATCTCTATATTTAGTTTATAAGTTACATTATGGATTAAACATCTATTACATATTTTGCATTGCTATGCCAAACTGTACTGATAATTAAACTTCTGGATCATTTATTTGAAAGATCAACTTACACACAAGATGTTTTGTACATTTTTTGTGCTTGCCTTTCTACCAGTATGTATGTATGTATGTATGTATATATGTGAGTGAGTGTGTGTGTGTGTGTTGTGTGTATTTCATTCTTTGGATAAGCTTTGTTTCAGAAGTACAGGATGTTATTTAAATGATAACAGACATATATAAAACCAAATTCAAAACTCTTGCTTTTCATAATAAAATGATGGAGAAAAAAACCCATCTGAAGATTGTTGAAATCTGGCTGCAGTTTATGATATAATGGATAAAATCTGCATCCTTGGCCTTCATACAACTTTTACTCCAGCAGATGGTGGGCGTAAAGATGTCATTCATCATTTATTTACAATGGGCTTTATTTATTCTAGTGTCAACAGCTGCCCCGGGGAGGGAGTTATTGAATTCAAATGTGAAGCACTGGGCTATTTGCTTCCTTTCAAATTTGTCTTCAGAGCTTAGTTGCTAGGAGTCCATTCTGTACTCTAATAATGATTCATGTATTGTGAAGCCATTCAGTAAATTGGGTTGTCAGGGATTGCCAAAAAAGGTTTAGAGGTCTTGTTCTTGATTTTTCCCCCTAATGGTGCTCTAGATTTTTTAAAATTTGTAAGTCTTATTTTCAAGAAATAGTGGCAGTTTATTTTGTTCCCAATCTCAGTAAAATAAATTTCATAGTATAGCTAAGTAATCTGATGTTTCTCACACATGAGGAATAAGAAACTGTTGCTCTTGTTTTACTACAGGCTGGGCAAGAGTCCTTCCGTTCCATCACAAGGTCATACTACAGAGGGGCAGCAGGTGCTTTACTAGTGTATGACATTACAAGGTGAGACTCTTGCAGTTTAGTGTGATTTAGACTCTTGTACTCTTGTAAAGTATACTGGGTTAGTCTCCTACTAGTTCATGCTTTGTTTAAATTTTATTGCTATCATTGGACCTATTTTAAACTTTATTAAGATGGATTATATCTATTGTCAAAGTACATTCAAGTATGTAGGACTGAATGTGTATATTCACACTGAGTTTTAGAGATAATATTTAATGTGGCTAAGGCGAATACTTAATTCTGAAGTGAATCTTCTGTGCAGCTGATGAAGCTTGTAATTTGAGACCAGATTTCACAGTGTTCTGCTGCTACATTCTTAAGCATTTATACTTTTCTGTAAAGGGACTCATAAAATCCCCAACCAGATGAGTGCTGTGTGTGTGTGTGTGTGTGTGTGTGTGTGTGTATTTACATACAGATGTGTGTATTTACATACAGATAGATAGATAGATAGATATAGATATAGATATAGATAGATATCTTATTACATCGTAGATTACTTTTCTTTCTGGATTAGGTTATATTTTAATATATTGTGCTGAAAGTTTTTATGTTATTCAGATTATAGAGATTATTTGGTTGCATATTGTATAAATTCAAAATGTAAGGCCTTTTTAAGAAGGGTGAAGAATATTTGGTTTTTCCCAAGTTATTAATTAGTTTTGATTTGTAATTCACTTAGAATTGGTATCAGTTATGTGGAATATAAACTCTAAATGTTAAAACATAACCTTTAGAGATATTTTATTAGGTCTTTTGGTGCTCATTTACATTTTAGTTTCCTTTTAGGAGGGATACTTTCAACCATTTGACAACATGGTTAGAAGATGCCCGCCAGCATTCTAATTCCAATATGGTTATTATGCTAATTGGAAATAAAAGGTACTTTGTTTTCTGATATGGCATACATTAGGATAATTGTAATTCTATATTTAGATGTATAATTTAGAGTTTAGATTTTTTTTATTCTACTCTTATTTTTATAAATAACTCAAGGCTATGAACATACTAATACTCCTTCCCCACCCTGTTTTCCCCATCACAACAATCCTGTGAGGTGAGTTGGGTGAGAGAGAGTGACTTGCCTAAAGTGACCTAACCGGTTTTTATGTCTAAAGTGAAACTAGAACTCACAGGCTCCAGGTTTCTAACTGGGTACCTTAACCACTAGATCAGACTGGTTCTCAGTTGCAACAAATGCAATAATAAAATTAAAAACCCTAACTCTACATGTTGAGGCTATTAAAAGTGGTTTAATTAAAATATTTTTCATTTTCTCTATGCAAAATATTAAATGCCCTTTATTGTATAGTTAGCTAGCTTCTTGTCTCAATAGTTCTGCAACTAAATAAAATCACCTTATTCCTGATCTTCCTATGCCAGTTGCTTTGCTATCTGGAACATTAACATTTTTTTTGCTGCTGGATTTCTTTGCATAACTTTCTCTGGCGTCTACTATCATTCTTCATTGTTTTTGTTTTAAAACATTGTTTTATAACTTTAGCAATTGCCAAAATCTGGCCTGCTTTAAATTTATTATATTTTATTTGCAATGTTACTGTTCTTAGGGGACAAGTTAATGAATAATAAAACACTTCTTTCTGATGAAAACAAATCTATTGACAGTGAGCTGGTACTGATTTTATTTCTTCCATATAGCCAGCTACCCTCTCAAAATGTAGGCTGTTAGAGAGATCACAGATTCTGTAGTGTGTCCATAATTATAATAGTTTATGGTTAATAAGCCAGGGTGAAAAAAGCATTGGGTTGCCTTTGTACTATATCCTAGAAATATTTTAGGACACAATTAATGAAAGCTGTGCCATTTTTCCTGTTTTAAGGAGGAGTCAGAATATTTGGTTGGGCAATAAATAGTAAGGAACTATTTTAGATCCTATTTTAGATTATTAAGCATGACACCTGAAATTTGAACCTACTGTTTCAAGGATATCCATAAATATCCTTAATGGCACAAAATGACAGGGAGCATATATTTTCATAATGATGATTTTAATCTTACTTCAAATATGTAAGCAGTTTCTTAAATGTTGCTGATGTGGACAATTCTACACAGTAAATTTAACATAAACTTAACCAAACTTTGAAAAGTAGTAAGATAATTAAATTTGATCTAATTTAACATAGATATAATTCAGCTAAATATAGGTATTCTAAGTGTATTTAATAATTTCCCATTAAAAATAGAATTTGATAACCACCTCTGAAGTATATGGGAGACTCACCTTTGGGCCACATGTGACTTAGCTTGTAGACCTCTGTCATTATGATGAGTCATATACATTAATAGACATTTATAGACAGGATTTGTTTTATTATTCCTACTTGTATCTCATACTGTATATGAGGCAATTGTTTGGAAATAGTTAGCTAAGATAATGAACAACCATTAATTTATTTGAAGAGAGGCATGTCTTCTGTTAAGCACCAATGCTGGCAATTCAGGCACTGGACAGAAATTTTAAAACTTTCCAACTTGATGTTTTTAATCAACAGTGGCAAATATATATGCAATTGAATAAGTGGACTTCAGAAAAATAATACTACCTGAGATAAGACAATTTGACATAATTGTAATCTTACTTAAATATTCTAAACATATATAACTAAGCAATCCTGATATTTTTCAATTAATATTTTTTTTCTTAGCGATTTAGAGTCTAGAAGAGAAGTGAAAAAAGAAGAAGGAGAAGCATTTGCAAGAGAGCATGGCCTTATCTTTATGGAGACATCTGCCAAAACTGCTTCAAATGTAGAAGAGGTAATTTGGAGTATTTTTTATATGTTAGATGAGAATTCTAAGAATAGAAAAATATTGAAAAATATATTTGAAATAAAGATAAAATACTTTTTCTTAACTACTGAACATACCAGGATCCCATTAAAAGCCACAGGATGAAATGAAGCATTCTATGCAGATTGTAAGGTTGTGCAGCTGTAGGCCACATGTCCCAGTCCTTTCATTGATATTTTAATGCCTACTTACTCCAAACATGTATTTTCCTGAGACCACATAGCTAATTTGTGAATATACAAAACTGTGTGGCTTTTTAAGGAGCCATTGACAGGTGTAGTGAGCATGATCATGCCAAATTTAAAGTACTTTTCCTACTTTGGACCTGAAGTATATATTCCTAACAGAATGGTATCTTCCAGATTACTTCAGCTCTTATGCTATCGAGTGCTCTAGAGGAGGGCTTTTCAACCGGTGGTACACGTACCACCAGTGGTACTTTGGCAGGTGGTATGTGACCCTCCTAGACAGGTGTAGCGGGGGAGGGGAATGAGCTGAAGTGACCCAAGCCTGAGGGAGAGGCAGCTGGAGCTGCAGGACTGTTGGGGCTGGCAGAAGCCCCAGGAGCACCGCAGGGCTGCAACTGATTGGCGTTTCCAGAAGCAGCACATAACTGGAGGTGAAATGAAGGGAAAAGGAGAGGAGAGGATATAAAAGCAGGTGGTTTTTGAGGAAAAGGGGAAAAAAGACAACAGGGAAAGAGAAGGGGACGGAGAAGAAGCTGTGGAAGGAGAGCTCAGCAGGCTGGGAGGAAAAAGAGACAGGGAAGAAGAAGCTGTTACTGGAAGAAAAGGTCCCCTGGTTCGTTTTCTCCAGCCAGGAGAATGCAGTCAGTGCTGATGAAATGAAAAGCCAGAAGACAAGCATGTCAGAAAGGAGGTTGGTTTATTTCAGAAGCCAGTGGGTTCCAGATCAGCTGGCAGCTTGAATGGATTATCATAAGTATTTTTATACATTTTTACAGCATTTTGTAATTCAGAGGCTTTTGTAATTCAGAGGCTCAGTTTGTTTGCTTTGTTTATTGGAATATTTTAGTCTGTTTCACAAAGGCTAGCAATGAGTCCAAAGTGTTGGCTTCCGTAGGTTAGTTCCTTTAAACAAATTAGTTTTATCCCCTTATCTTGAGACTGTCTATGACTTTTATCAAGTTTTCTTTGTAGGTAAACAGGCTTAATTTAAGGTTATTGCTTTTCGCAATTGCCGGAGCCTTTCAGATTCCAGTTGCAACATTGTGACACGCTTGAGGCAGCTTAAGGGGAAAAAAAACTGGAGTTTAGTGTTTCTTTATTCTGTGAGGCTTTTGTGAGCCTTTCTTGCTTTGCGCTTGATTCCTGTGTCTTTAGGGGTACAGTGAAGGGACTGGGGGGGTCCATTCTTAGTACACTGTGAAAGGAGAGCTTAGAAGGCAGAGAGGAAGGAGAGGCGAGGGAGAGAGGAAGAAGGCCAACCAGCCAGCTGGTAACTGCATATTAATAAATATGGATAAATTCATCATACATTTATCAGTGCAAAGGGAAAGTGATTCAGCAGAGGAACTGCCACCAAAGAAATTAAAACTGGCACTTTTTTCCTTTTTTTCTACAGTTTGTAACATTTTATTAGATTATAGACTAAAATACAAAAATACAAAAGCAAATAGTAGGACACTGGGGAGGAAAAAGGGGAAAAATTGAGGGGGAGAAGGGAAAAAGAACAGACTTCCTCTATTGCAGTAGAAGGAAGCATTAACATTGAACCTCAACTTTTTACTTTTCCATAATATTATAAACTAGCCATTTCTATAACAACAAATGAATCTAATCAGTAAAACCCAAAATCCCCCCCCCTTTTTTTTTTAGTCATCAAGTTTATGACACTTTGCTAAGTACTGGTGGTACTCAAATATTGTCATGTCCTAAAAGTGGTACAATCTGTAAAAAGGTTGAAAAGCCCTGATCTAGGGGAAGGGAGAGGGTATGAATGTCAGCTGAAAAGCCCTGCTCCTTCTACTGTACCTTAGAAATTTTGCCAATTGACATATGAGAATGACTTTTTTTTACATTTAGTTTGTCATGCAACACTATCAAGTTCTCACAGAACCCTAGGTTTCCTCAGAACAATTTGAGAAACTCTTCAGGTTTTTTACTCAGAGGAAGTAGAATTAATGCTGGTGATTAAAAATAAGACTTAAAGAGATATATTCAAAGGAATAGGAAAGCCAGCAATCAAACTACAAAAAGCTATGGCACATTAAATCAAAATTTATTGAGTTGTATTTTACCAAGGAATGTGGGGAATGATTTTCTATAGAGTCTCCAATGTAATCACAAGTTGCATTAAGAGTCTATTGATCTGTTGTTTACAAAAGACTTTGATCAAAATTGGATAACAGAGGCAGCAGGCAGACATTGAGATTTGTACAGTGTATAGGTCAACAGCAAATAATCATTTGTAAATATCATTTAACTTTATTTTAAGTACCAAAGTAACAGAGAAATATGGATGTCACTTTGCATTCTCATATGCAATCCCTTATTTTTCTCCCATAAAATATACTAAAACAATCTTGGCCCAAATATTTTTGTGGCGAGGGAAAAAATGGATTGTGATAGGAAGGTGCATTAACTGACTGGCAAAATATGCCACACTGAGAACTACAATGTTAAGGAAAGGAGTGACATGTGCTGATCTTGCCCTACCTATCTCTCTGGATTTTATTTCATTGAACCAGGAATTGCCAAAGACTTCCAAAATTAGGTTCGTCTGAGTAGTGGCTGATTCAAAATAATCTGGCAGATGGTCAGCCCCAAACAAATTGGCTTGTTCTGATTTTGAAACAAGACATTTTTCCTGTTTGATATATATATCTATAAGTCACCTGTTGCAACAGAAACCTTTGCTAAAGTTTTCTGTTCCACTATTGTAATATCATCTCAGTTTTAAGTTCTCTTATTGTCCATTATTATAGACATTCAGTCCTTGTGAAATTGATTTTTCTTCCAAAGAGACTTTAGTTATTCAAAAATTGTTTTAATCTGATTGTCATGTATTTTAAATTCTTTAAAATAGATGATGATATGAAATATTTATTTGTACTTCAAAAATATTTTGAAATATTCATTCAAGACCTGCATCCAGCATTGGTGGTTTTTTAAATATAAACATTCTGTATATTCCTAAAATGTTTGTTTTAGAAAATTAAAACTGGCTATTTTAATCTATTTTGCTGTTTGATCTATTTTGCTTTGTATCCAGGAAAACCTGTCTGGTTTAATTTAAAATGTTGGGTGACGTTTTTGCATTTTGATTCAAATTAGTATTTGTAAACTGAAACTTTTTTCTTTCAAAAATATACTGTTAAGTTTTTTTGTTACTTTATGATTTATTTGCTATTATAATTCTCATCAACAACATATTGCCACCAGATGGCAGCATGTTACATAAAAAGCTTAAAGAATCTTGACTTTTTCAGTATCCTACAGATTTTTAAAAACGTAATAGTATCCTAAATTATATCTTTGTTTATGTTACCAAGTTTGCAAGTTTATTGTTTTATTGGTTGTAAGTTGCCCAGAGTTGTTTTTAAAATGGGCAGTTATGTAAATGTTTTAAATTAATAAATGAACTGCAGCAGGTGTTGTCTTTAAACATGAGGTGAATGTTATTTTCACAGTAGTATTTGTAAAATACACATATTTTGAATTATTGTTCAAGTACTATATTTTCAATGTAATTTGCTACATTGATATAATCTTGAGTATACAACTCTGCCTTCTGTTAAAAGCGTTCTTTAGTTCATGTTGATTAGTTTATAATCCTACTGTCAAGAGATCAATGTCTTTCTCAAACTATGTACAGGAAGCCCCTGATTTACAACCATTTGTTTAGTGACCGTTTGAAGTTACAACATGATCAAAATTTTGGTCACGTGATTAAAAATGTGTATGCTTGGCAAGTGGTTCATATTTAAGATGATTGCAGTGTCCCAAAGTCATGTGATCACTTTTTGTAATCTTCTGACAAGCAGAGTCAATGGGGAAATCAGATTCACTTAACAACTATGTTACTAACTTATCAACTGCAATGATTCACTTAACAAATGTGCCAAGAAAGGTTATAACAACTGTTTTGTTTATCAATAGAAATTTTGTAGTTATGAATTGGGGACTACCTGTACTAAGATTTTTACAACTGGAGGATGCTGAGACTGAATGCATGCAAACATGCATGCAAATTTATTGTTATTATGAACCTATAATGTGTTTATTGCGGGCCCAATTGGCAAAAGAAAGCTCAAGACTGTATTGGTTGGAAACATGCAGAAGAGACCTTCATCCTGCAATGGATAGAAAATGGTGATGATAGAAGATGGAAGATGGGAGGAGGAGAAGGAAGAAGAGGAGGAGGANAGTAGTAGTAGTAGTAGTAGTAGTAGTAGTTTATAGGATGCTGGCATTATTATTTTTTTTTAGAATATTTTATGGTCCAAATAGTACTGGAATTTGTTTGTTTACTTGTATCTCGCCTTTATTATTTTTAAATATAACTTAAGGCAGCAAACATACCCAACACACTATCCTTTTCCTATTTTCCCCACAAAAACAATCATGTGAGTTGGGTTGATCTGAGAGACAGTGACTGGCCCAAAGTCACCCAACTGGCTTTCATAACTAAGGTAGGACATGAACTTGCAATCTCCCACTTTCTAGCCTTGTACCTTAACCACCAATCAATTAACCAGTTACACCTGAAATATATAAATCCTTCAGATTAAAAAGTTATTATGCGGGATAATAAAATAAAACTATTTTGCTTGTTTGAGCACTTGCAATTATAGCTTGCTTCATAAATTTATATCCTACAGTTCTTGCTAGGGTAACTCTTGAAAGCTAACAGTATCTTCACCACGCACATTAATTATGACTTGCATGATAAACCAATTTAAAGAAAAAGAGTGGAAGGAACATAACATTTTAACAGGACTATTT